AAATACGAGCCTGTGATGAGATTGTTACTGCTCAACTCAGTAGTTGATTGGCTTATCACAGTTTGCAAATCGTTTACTTGTTTTTAAAAATCATGATTTTGTGAATAACTTGTCTGAGTTTTAAGTTTTTAAAATAATTTTTACGAAAATTTAGATTAAGTAGGAGTCTTAAATTTAGCATGAAAATATTATTTTGGACAAAATCGACCCTTGCAGGTCTACAGGCTAACCAAGTTAGGCCCAGTCCTTCACAGGATGGATAACAATATCCACAGGACTACCCAGAAGGATGGCGTACCAAGCTCTGTTAACAGTTATCTACCGGATAATGATTTATCCAGTGAACAGTGTTATTCATCCATTGAACAACCACAACCGTCAAACAGAGTTCTATTGCAGCTAAAAATAGTACCTTAATGTTTTAAATTGAGCTTGATATCTTAACTCAAACTCATGAAATGGACAGACCTATTCACTCATTCTCTAATTAATAGTCCAATATTGTTTAACAAAGGCAACAAAAATCATTGTTCCAACATTAACCAGTCTTCATCACTACAATAACTGCTTTGTCAGCAGCTTCATATTTACCAGTCCATAAACATGAATAGAGTCAAGATATCTATTAAACCTTAACCTCACCTAGTAAATCTTTCTGTTTGTTCTCGCTGCTTCCTTATCTCAGGGAAAACTTTTTCATAGAATTCACGCAGCTTAGCTTCCTTTTGCCTATGTCAAACAACAAAAAAAACCTTTTATTTTACAATCTGTATTTTTAGCAGTTATAAAACCTTATAAAATATTATTATTGACAGACAAAACCAGGATTTCAAAAAGTAATGCAGCATACTAACTTTCGTTTTGGATTGTTTTCACTTCTCTCAATTTTCTTGAGCCAGGCTTGCTTCAATGTCTTGTACTCTTTACACAATTGACGATTCTGAAAAAATGAAACATGAACTCTCAACTATCTTGAATTTTCAGGGTAAAAAAAAGGTTAGAAAAACCAGGGATTGAAAATAATTGAGTCAGCCTTGAGTATGAAAATAAAAATAATTAAAAGAAACAAGAAAAAAATTACAATTACATAAAACATGGTGGAATGTAAATTTTTTATTGACCAAGTGCCAGAAGAGAACACCAGAAAATGAAGTTAGATTAGGATAACAATTGAAGAAAAGGTCACATGTTACTGTTAGTGGTGTTCCAGCTGTATTCTGAAATACTCTGATGTTTGTCTTTCAACTTGCGGCCAACGGTAGCAAAATTCGCTTTGAGTAAATGATTGAAAAAAGGACAAATCAAGGGAAATGGGTTTCAGATCTACATGTAAATAATATGTATTTTAAAATAATCACTAGGCGTTCAGCTAAAAATTTTGTTCTTCCAACATCAAGACTTAAGCAATGCCAAGCAAACCTGTGGCATAGAAAAGAGACTAAGAGACTACAGTGTGAATGGCAATAAAACTAGTCATTGTCTATCAAAACTGGGTTACTGTGTGTTGTGTGACCAAATTTTCAGAACTAACAACAAAAGATCTAGATTATCTCTGGCAATACATGACAATACTGTAAGGAGATAATAATATTTAATTAACTTTCATCTGAAAGGTAGTCCTGTACCTTGAGTTCTTTGGCCTGCTTTCTCAACTGAAAATACTTAACCAATTTAGCTTTCACAGCTGGGCCTCTGAAACAAGGAAAGTTACAATCTGTGTGTTAACATGAATCCACAAGACACAATTCCAGTAATAATGGTTGTCCTTCAGACAAGTCTTGTCAAAAATTCACTTGTCCAAATCAAATTTCTGATAATGTTGGGCTGCACAACAAGACAAATGTTTTGGTGTACCCTGCCAACGAACTGGTGAATGAGAAAGTTATTAAACCTTATCATTACTTTTCAAGGTATGTGGACATCTGAAAGAATAAATACTGTAACCAACAAAACAACAATATTTCCACGAGGAGTGACATATATCAGGTACAGTGCATGCTACTGATGACAATAAGGATTTTTTTAAGATAAAGCAATCCGCCTGACTTCAATAGCCTGCATAATAGTTGCAATGTTCAAGACCACACTTAAATTTTGACTTTCTCACCTTCGAAGGTTCTCATGATAACAAGGAAGATCAGATGGTTGATTGTACAAAGGCTATGATACCAAAAAAAAATACATGTACATGTAAACAGGCACTGATTAGATACAGTTCTAAGGTATTGAAATACATGTAGTGCTAGAAATAAAAGAAGCAGAAGCATATCAAAAAGCAAGTTGTTAGCAGGATGAGGAACTGAGCACTGGAAAAATATCTGTAAAGTGAAGCAATGGGAAATCACATGTCATTGAATGAACTACAGACAACAACAGCAACACACACTTTTTACCAAAACAGAAAAACTCTTAGTTACAAAAAAGATAATTGAAACAGAAAATTAGGTAAATTCACCCAGAATAACTTAGGAGCTGAACAAGCTGAGTGAAATTAAATAGTACATGTATTTATATAAAAATGTTGGTTGGCAGTAAAGCCTGGTACACTTTTTTTTTCAAAAAAAAATACTTATTGACGAGCTTCATGGTGCAAAACCATGCTAAGTGATGATTTTGTGTGAAAATGTTTTTTGCTCAAAAGTGCCTGACTATCTGCATGTGGTCATTAATGTAACAGAAATGGTCCTGTATTTTTGTCACTGGTTTTTGCTGAACGTTTTCGAGATATAATGCATACAAAAAAAAAACATGGCTAGAAATCAACATCTTTGAGCTCAGGCATTCACCTGAAATCAACATTTCACTGTTTACCAAGTAAAATCAACATCTCTGCGGTCAAGCATTCTCATGAAATCAATATGTTAGTGTTTTTGAAGTGAAATCAACATCTCTGAGCTTAGGCATTCTTGTGAAATCAGCATTTCACTGTATTTCAAGTGAAATCAACATCTTTGCGGTCACACACTGACATGATTTCTGATCACTATGTGAAGAAAAATCTTTAACGTCTTAACAAAATGAAGACCACATGCAAAAATTCAGGCACTTTTGAGAAAAAAAATTTTCACATAAAATCCTCACTTAGCATGGTTTTGCACCAAGCTGTTCAATTATTATTTGAGAGAAAGTACCATCCTTATTTTTTTCCTGCCTCTTGTTGAAAAATTAGCAATCAATTTCACTGGTAGTCCTCAGTCGATTATTGCCATTTTATCTCACTTCCGATTGGTAGCAGTACAGTACACATTCCAAAGCTATCATACTCAATTAGAACTTAAAGTTAAAGAGGTTTCACTGTAAACCTGTTGTCAGTTCATCTGAAACTTTCAGCTCTAAAACAACATTACATTTGTCTGAATACACACCTTTCCTCCAGGAAGTGGCACACTAAGCTTTGCCAATCTTGCTGCAGCAGTTTCAGCTTTTTTCTACACACAAGATGGTAAATTTTAGCAAGGTTAGCTTGCCAATGCAGCAAATGTTTGTTGCAGTTTAATTTTTAAGCTTCTAAAACCAGTTAGATCAGACATTTATTTTTCTTTGTTTTGGATTATGGTAATGAATCAAAGTAGCTTAACATTTTTAAATTTATAAAATAAAATTTAAAATAAATATAAATGATAGCATAAATATGCATACAAGTATCATGCTATACATTTTGCTTTGCATAGCAGCACACCTTGTTCTCCTTGTAGATCACCTGTACAACACTTTTTGGTTTTGGTTCAGGGAGAGGTGCTTCTTCCTCTGGTGGCTCAATGGGCTGTTTAGATGCCTCCTCCTCAAGTTGTTTCTAATACAAAAATTACATAAAATATGACTTCAATTGCTGAAAAATTAAAAGCAGTCAAGTGGCCCATCAGGCCTGTACTTATCCCGGTTTCAGTAGCATGAAGTGACTAGGAGTATTTCTACTCCTCCATGGATGGGATGCTAGGTCTATTGCAGGGTTACCCCTTAGCATGAAATTTGCCGGTACCCATTTCTACACGCATCCTGCCATCAATTTTAAATCTGTCCCTCATGCCACTTGTCAAAAAGAGCAAATCCTGCTCCAGCCAAAATGTTTTTATCCTGCATCCCACCATTAAAAGTCCTGTCATCCCATATCCCACCTAGATTTTTACTCTCATCCCCCATCCCAGCAAACCTACGTTGGCTCCTCTCTAATAGCGCATTGTGTGCAGGAGACCAATAATCATGAATTGCCTGTAAAAGGTAGATTTACCCAGTGGCAACCATGGCAGAATGTGCTATTGCTTAATAACAACCACTATTGAGTCTAACCTGTTTTTTCTTGAGGTTGTTAATTTGTTGTTCAACCTGTGTGATTTCTCTATCCACTTTCTCCATGCTCTGGAGTAGTTCATCTTTAGACATCAAATCAGACAGATCATTTCCAACAGTTTTCTTTTCTCCACCATTTGCTTCAGAAGCTGGTTAAAAATTATTTCAATTAATGCTTAGGAAACAAACAGTTCCATCTGACCATCAATATTTCCTTGTGAAACTACTCATTTTTTATCACTTAGTGCTAGCTACCTAGAAAATATTTTCTTGTAATGTTAAGAATTGTAAAAGTTAATATCTTTTTAACTTATTTCCAGGTATACTTTTTATGTAGTGTTGCACTTAAAGCGATGTTACATGAACTGATTTTTTACACTATATCACATCTGTGGTCTAAGAAAAATTACTAGGAGCCCAAAGATTTCAAACCATGAAATCCTGGGTGCCCAGCACTTAAAGGGACAATGTCACAATATATTTGTTTAAACCTGTTATAAATTCATGAAATGGTCCCTAAATTTAAGTAATAAGAACTTAATTAGCTCTAACTAAATGATTAAAAGCAATTTCTTGAAGAAAGTCCACACTGCAGCAACATTTTTTGCAAAATTTCAATGATTTTCCCAGTCCCAGTACCCTTCTCAACGCCTGAGAGCCTTTTTGGTGATAAAAAGTCAGTTAGGCCCAGGTCACATGCTGTACTTCACATGAGCTGAACCCAATTCAACCAATTTGGCTCATAAGAAGTTCAACTGATTTTATTTGGAGTGCCTGAGGCGTTCTTCGCACCGGGCCAGCTGTGAATAACACCCAAAGACCAACTTTGGGTCAAACGCCAATCTTCACATGAGTCGAACCAAACTTATCATCAAAGGTCTAAAGGCGCCATTTTGACTTTACATTGAAAAACCACTGACCAACAAGACCGCTCTTGTTATTTGTTTGGTGTAGCAGTTCAGTTTGAATGAATCAATTCAACTGTAGACTCAAAAAGGCGTACCAAGTCTGGATGTGCCACTAGGTTGGCTTCTTGTTTGTTTATTCTGACCGTGTGAGCAAGAGTCACTGATTCATCAGTTTGATTGAAACTACTCATGCATGAAAAACAAAAGTGTCAAGTTACCATTTGAAACTAACAGTAGTGTTCTCATTCAAAACTAGCTGTCGGTAATTTTTTTGGGTTTTGACAGAGAAAACCAGTTCAAATGAGTATCTTGGTATTGATTCCAAGAAAAGTTTTAACAAAAAGACAGTATTACTCCGTAAACAGCGCTACATAACTGAGACTTGCACAAACTGAAAACTTTTGCACAAACATATATGGTTTCGACTCAATTGTTTTTTTCGTGAACTTCACATAATGCATATGATATCGATGGGAACTGACCTGGCGAATACCATCACAGATGAAAGCCCCCTCACCATAGCAAACGTGTATTTTGCACTAAAAACAATCGTTCCTGTCCTAGAAGTCACCAAGTTGTCAAGTGGCTAACACTTATTTCATCAGAAATTTCAGGTAATGCGAAAAGCAAAGCCTCGATGACGTGTTGGTGAATAAAGATAAGATAAGATAAGAACTTTGTTAACGTGTCTAAATCGCCAAAGACTATGATTCCTTGGCTGATTATCAAATTTTGAAATCTTTCAAAACCCATCTACAAAGTCCTGGGCTTAACTACAGTAAACGCAGCATCGGAAATGTCGGAATAAGGCCAAAGCAAGAATATCTGTTTCTGTTTATTGAAGACAAAGATGGCCCTTCTTAAATCAAGATGAAATCTTCACAAGCATGATTCATCTTTACAGGCAGCAATTTGACTAGTTGTTTATCGTAGCCCCAATCTGATTGGTGTGACATACATGTACTATACATCTCTCACTCACTCACTCATCCATTGACCCGCTCATAACATAGCGAAGACCCATTAACTAAGAGGTATTTTTCTTACAAGAAAAATAACTCAAAAAGTAAATTTTTCCAGTTGTCCAAACGCAAAAGTTAGTCACCTGTGGCACCTGGGTGCTTCTAAAGCACAGCCCTGTATATGCTACATTACACAAGACAACTGTTAAACAACTTTGTTGTGGCAACAATCAGCAAC